ACATTTGTTGCTCCGCCACAAATGACCTGCCCGTTTTCAGCATGGGGATGTATTTCTGAAGGTGTGCGTAGCGTGGTGTAGCACGGCATGCAAAGGCAGTGTCAGGGCATGTTTTGTTCCCGAAACACAAGCTGAGTTCAGATCTAGCAGACATTGTCAGCCACAGGCCACAGCAGGCAACTGACCATCAGGCAGATTTTAGACAACTCAAAACTGCGGCTAGAAGCAGCCCAGCTTGGAACACATGGATGCCGTTTCCCAAATCAGCAGCTGTCGCTGCCTGCAATGAGACAGTGTCTACAGCAACCCCTGCAGCTTGGGCAACAGCCTCTGTGATTGGGAAGCCAGAGGCCAGCAGCAGCTCTTCAGTCACAAGCCACCGAGCTCGGCTCGGACTCCACAACAAGCCAGCCGAATGACGCAGCGTTGGAATCTGCTGGCTGTCCCCTGACCATACTCGGCGGTGCCTCGGGTCCTGCAAGCGCCACAGTCGAGAAACAACATGGAGCAAAACCCGAAACTGCACACCGAAAACCGTACTACCCCAACCCTAAACCTTGCGCACTAGAGCGTAAACCCAAAGCTGCCTGGCCTGAGAGAGGTCTATCAGGCAGGAATCATCGAGAAGTGGATCAGTGCCATACTTGTGTCGCCACTGAGCCAGGTATTCCTTCTCATAGCCCTGCTGCTTCTTAGTCAGAAGGTAGCGCCAGTCAAAGGAAGCTTGTGAACGACGAGGTGCTTGCTTCAGCTTGGCTCGCGCTTTGTTTTCTGCAGCAAGAAGCCACTCTTCCCGACAGGCGTCGCACACCGCAGAGATTCCTGGGGGCTCTGACTCTGTGCTCTGACGAATCACTGCGCAAATTCGTCTGTAGGCTTCACATACATCGTGACCTGGCAACCAGACATTCTTCCTGATGAGAATGATGAACAAGCGGGGTCTTCGGATGAAATTCCAGATACCACAATCACCTGGCTGTCCATGAAGAGCCCACACGTAGTAAATATCAGACAAAAACTCTTCAACGACAGGCTGTCCCTTGAAGTGTTGGGTGCACTCATGAATGGCCCAAGAAGGCTGCGTCTTCCGAATGAAAACAAGCCAGACCAGGAAAGGCAGGCTGCGAGGATCACTCCAGCCACGTCCTTTTCCATACGAAGACCATGGCTGACATGGCGAGCCACTAAAGTCGCCATGGTTCTGCGACAACGATGGCTGGCAACGTAAATGAAATGATCGCCAGCACGGAGTATTGCTTGCGTCGAAGCACTCCCAAATCAGTTTCAGGCGCTGACTTTCAGACAGAGGCGAAAGCTGGGACCAGGGCGGCATTGAAGGAGCATAATCCAGGATATTCTTCAGAACGCAATGATTACCCCGCAGAAGCAGAACTCGCGCACAGTGCTGATTCAGCTCACAGGCAAATCGGACTGTCAGATCTTTCGCGCCCTGGAAGCAGGACTGAACAACGGACTGCAACATGCCGGCTGCAATTTCAGCGCTGCCCACGCCAGAAAAGTGGGTAGACAAGCCACATCCACCGATAAGCGCAGACTGTCGCAACATCGAATAGCCGAACATGTTGTGTAAGGCACTTACGGCTATAAACAAAACTCGAAACGCAGCTACCAATGATGGCGGCGATTCCAGTTCACGCACTATGTCTTGGGTTTCTTCAGGCTCACCAAATTCAGAATCACTGCTTGCAAGGCCCACGCCATCAACATTCTCAGGCTCAGCATCACTTACAGCAAGCTCCATAGTCGCAGAGGCATCGCACTCCTCTTCACTGCTGGCCAGTTCCATTGCTCTCAATACAGTATGTTACAAGATTTCGCATGGATAGGGTTTAGCCGTTACCATGTTCTTTGTTTCTAGCCCTGCAGGGACAGGGTGCTATTCCATTAGGCTATAAGCCATTCCCACAGCTGCATCCGGGCACAACTTGGCAAGCCATCAAATGCTTTGCAAATATCTAGTAACACGGTCGCGCCTCAGAAGATGGGTCCGGGGTAACGTCCAATCAGCAAGTCAGACCTGGCTGGCATGGTCAGAAGGATTCCAGGATAGCATCGTTGCCGCAACGAGTCGCCGAAAACTGAGCTATCTGCAGACATAGGAAGATCTGTCACGAAAACCTCCCAGTTTCAAAATGCCCCCACGCGCTGCTGACACGTGGCATACGAAAATACTTTGCCAATCAAAGGCGTGTCCGGGATCAAGTCTGCCCCGCCTCCCACAGACCAAAACCTATACGTAACACAACCGAAGGCAAACACATCCATGGGCTTGACAACCCTCACTGCTTTATTGCTGGTGCACTCAGGCGGCCGATAGATGATGGGAGTGAAGGTGTCATCTCTGTAGCAACAGCCGAAGTCAGACCACTTTTCAAAAATTCAAGCCTAGACCCATCTGCAACTGCCTGGTGCCCACATCGCTAAACCTAATTGGTCCGCAACCTAGAGCTTAAACCCTAGACCCTTAACCGTAAACCCTAAACCGCAACCAGCCTGATATCACCTCGAAATGGTCGAGGTAGTTACTGGGAGCACGACCAGTTCACGCAAGGCCTCCTCCAGCAGGCCAAGATACCTCTTCAGGATGACATGTTAGACTGATTCTCTGCATTCTTTCTGCGATAAACAAACCTGCTGGTGTGCCCTGTCATAGCAGCAGCATCCTTCTTATATGATCAGCATGCGAAAGCTCAAGCGGCGCACGAATCAGAATCAGCTGCAGAAAAATTAACATTGGTTTGGGGTCTCTGAGGCTGCTGCTCACTGCCCTTCACATTGCAGCGAAGCGTCCTGGCCTCAGAAGGGAGCCGTAATGATTGCCATGGATTTTGTCGGCTCATCTCAGAAATCACGCGGCTTTACAGCATGACACAAAGACCTGTAACGCTCACTTGATCGGGAATTCGTTCAGGCTGCATGCGGCTAACTCAGCCCAGAGATCTCCAAGAGCCAGGCACCAGGCAAGCCATCAGACACGAGCCTCAGAGTCTAAGCTTCAACGTCTAAGCTTCAACTAGGCAATGGTCAAAATTGCGGCAAGGTCCACCTGCGAAGAGACACTCATTTCTTTGTCGCGAAGGCAGGCAACGGAACTGTCAAAACTTCCGCTAAGCTGATGCTGTGATTACCGACAGCCAGCCACATGTGACAATCTCACTGCAGCAAATGCTCGCACAATTGGCGATGCAAGTCCTTTCTCCCAAGAAAATCCTGCAGCAGCAGCCTTTCTTCAGGCTTCTCTATCAGGAAATGAAAGCACACGTATAAAGCTTGCTTGCTTATCTTCTTCATGGCAGGGTATCGGTCTTGAATCTGGCCGCGCCCCGACGACTTGAAGGAAACTATCTCTGTCAGGTCACTGAACACACTCTCGGCGGCGCCCGTCTCCAAGATGGTGAGCCCAAAAGCGAAGGCTTCGGAGCTGCGAGTCGCAGGTGTTGACGGGCATTTCCAAATGGATGGACATCTGTAGCCGGCTGCGTAAGGGGTGACCATGTCCGCCTCCTCTGCTGGTCTGTCGTGCTCTGCCCGTGCGTTCGAGAATCTTCCAAGCTTGAGAACACTGGAGTGAGGATTCCAAAAGAACACATTGGGGCGCACGTCGCAGTGCAGAATGTTTACATTGTGCAGTTGCGAGAGGGCTGTTGCTCCCTGCAAAGACATGGCAAGCAACTTCTCTCCTTTGAACCCCCCAAACTCTCTGACAAAGTCGCCTAACCGCGGAAAGGTTTCGTAGACGATGCACTTCAGCGGACCATTATCGAAAAGCACAGGCTGCATGACATGAAGGTAGACCTCAGGCCGGAAGCCATCCACTTCGTCCTCCGCAGCCCAAATCTTTCGCAAGATGCGTACTTCCTGTTCCATCTCCACCCCATTGAAGACAAAAGCTGAAGCATCAAAGCGGAGCATTGAGTGCCGAGCTCTGGCAGCAGAAACCGCCTGGCCGTGCCAAAGATAGGTGCCATGCACTTCATACTCCCCAATGGTGACTGTTGGCCGCGCGCCAAGATCCACGCGAGGAGCATCAGGCTCAAACAAATCCTTCAAGGCGGTCTGATGCCTCTCTTTCTCCTCTCGAGCGCGCTTCTGATAAGGCTGTTGGCCATCAACACCCAGCTCGGCCCACGCAGCAGAAACTTGCTTCAAGATTGATTTCTGAATGTCGTTTCCGCCTACGGTTTCAGGAAGCAGCTGCTTCTGCGCCTCATACTGCTCGCTGAGGAAAATCGCAAAGGCTGATCTCTTCTTCGGCAAAGACTCCTTCGCTATCTTCAAGGCATCCCTCTGCTTCATGCGCTTGGGCGACTCAGCCTGGCTGCTGCTTGCAGCTCGCGCACGCTTTTGGGAAGACATGGCCCAATCAGAGCTAGATGTGTAAATCTGGCCTGGAAATCTTCGAGCCCCAAACCTGCATGCGCATACTCCTGGACGAGAGTCAGATCAAGATGAGACGCCTTGAATTGCGCAATCATTACAAATGGAGCCATCTTTGATTCGAATATCAGTGAACTCATTCTTCAATGTGCTGCAGCACATCCACCACACGGGTGCGCACAAGCCAAGTCAAGGGTATATTATGCTCAGATCCCACTATACCCCATATTCTATCTACTTAAGGGGGACTATAAGTTTGGTTGAAGATTGCAAAGACGCCCCAACCCATCCTGCCACGGCAGTTTGTCAGAATGCTGGGTCCCTTTGTGGTGGCCTGAACAGTCTAGGCCTTTGTCTTGGAGGCTATATGTCAAATGTAGCTCTTAGAGCGTGCAATGAGGGCGCGGCCGCAAAATAGTTCCGATGAAGATGGGTCTCCTTCATCTTGCCTCTCGGTTCTCAGGAAATTATATAATTAAATGCTTCATATCTCATATTCGCAACGGAAGCTTTGAATGGTCTGGCGCCAATAATCAGGATCAAAGCGGTGAGCTGAGAGTGGGCCAGAAATAGGCTTTTTGGATCGGGACCTTGGAGGTTGAGGCTACAAGTAGGATTCAACGAGAGGTGTCTAGAGTTGAGTAAGTTGAGAGCCACGAATATGCTGTTGGCCTTTGGCCTTTGGGATTGAGGTTTGTTTTCAAGCTTCTTTCGGATTGACTGGAAGGTTTCGGTGCTCCAGGCCTATCTGTATATACTTTCGGACTTATAGAGAGCCTGAGGCCTCAGGCGAACCCAGAACCCCAAGAGCCCCAACCTAGAACTTGAAACTACAGACACGGGAAGCCCAGGTCTAACTCTCCAACCCCTCTGGCATGACTCTTACCTTGGAAGATCTCAACCGCGGAGACTGTGGTATTGGCCCCCACACGCGAGCTCTGCCCGCAGATCCACCTCGAGGCGTCAGCTTTCTGGGATTCTGGGCTTGCCCTGAGAACGCCAGCATCTACGCGGGACTTGACTCTACAAATATCGGACATTTGCAGCAAAGGGTCCCATTCTTAGTTCTTGCATATATACCACGCTCTCAGGGACTCTATACATCTGGTTGGTACTTTGAGATAGATATTGGATTAACTCCAAAATTCAAACCTTACCAGCGTGAGACCATGCAATGCCTCTGCCCTGAAGCCTATGGCATCCCGGAATCCACAAAGAAGAGCTCGGGGGTTGAGGGCTTCGAGTTGAAGCTCTGGGGGCGCATAGTTTAGGGTGCGGGGTTGAGGATTTAGCATCTGGGGTATTTTTCGAGTTTAGTGCGTAGAGTCTTGGTTGAGGGTTTTGGGGTGCAGGATCGACGGTTTTAGAGTTTAGGGTTGCAAGTCTGACGGCATTTGGGAGTTTCTTGGCATCAGGGCCCCTTTTAATGCTGTTGGCTCTTCGCATTTTATACCAACATATTCTATAGTAGGTGTAACCCTAATATAACCCCAATATATACCCTATTATGATACAGCAATTTCCATTTTCTTTTCCATTATCCCTATATTACTAGGTTCAACTACCAAAAAAACATTACTCAAGAGCCTGAAGGCTGCAGTTGCGTCTTCGAGCTGGATGCGCCGCACTTGGAGGTCATGATGCGTCAACATCTCAGGATTCCCCAGACCCCAGAACCAACGCCTTAACCTATAGTCCCCCTTAAGTAGATAGAATATGGCTTCAAGCAGACCGCGAGTCTGCTCAAGGGCTCAAGCAGTCTTCTATATGGTAGTTTCCGAAAAATGGGGGACCCCAATATGGACCCCATAATATTAGAAATCCTTAGGCTATCGCGCAAGTTCCTGAGGAATAATGATGATAGTTGCGTTGTGGTGCATGCAACCGTGGCCAATTCCAGCCTCCGTGGCTTTGTTACCACGACCTGCAACCCTGTAACTCTTGGACCCCCAAACCCAAAAAGCAGTCTCTTGAAAATGTGAACATTCCCTTTCAGAGGACCCGCCTTTGGCGCGGCTCACCCGGGCTGGCACCCACAGTGCCTGCCACCTCGATGTCAAAAGCTGTGGTCTCCAGTCTCCGGAATAGAAGTTTTGAAGCCAGGTTGAGAACGTGTAGGGATAGAAATATGAAAGCATGGTTCCTTCTCAAGTACTGGAAAGTCTAGGATATAGATACACGCCGATCATTTTTGGAACTTCTCGCACTTTGCATAGCCATGTTTACGCGTCAACAATTAGCTTCCATGTTTGAGATACCCCAAACCTAGCCATGCCGACCTGGAACGCAAACAGCTCAAACTAAGCTTCAAGCCGGCTTTGCAGCGCGCTCATCCCAACAGCAGAAGCCAATTCAGACGACCCTACACCCAGGTCCAATCTTATTCGGCGCCATCTGCTTAGAAGCCTA